TTTGTCCCAAAATGGCTGCTGGACAAATGTAAAATATTTCTAAATATTCAAGTGCATGCTCTAACTATTACCTACATCTCATTTTTAATTTTAGACAATTGTCTGTACTATTAGATTACAATAAATTAATAGTAGATTAACGAAAGTAAAATAATAAAAGTTTGAATATATTTCTGTTTCTCTTTTAATTTTGACAATTTCAACGAAAAAAAATGCCTTTCAAAATTTCAGTTAAAGTAATAGTTGGATGTTTTTGTTTTCAAAGCATTTTTTGCAAAAATGGATAATTTCATATTTTGACGAAAACAAATGAAAACCATATCGAATGACCCATCAATGTAATCATAAAAAAGGGAATTTAAAACTAGAAAATGACATTCATAAAAAAACAGAAGTTACATGTCGTGGATCCATTCTGATAGAGGCTGCGGCTAATACCACTACATATTTCAATTCATCATAAAAAAGTCTACATCTTTCATTATATTCCATAATTGTCATAGTTCGACCGACCTTATATCTCTTAAGATAATCGAGACCACAACAGCGCACTTGAAAAACGGACACCCTGTATGTGCGTATTACAAAAATGATCTCTTTTTATCATTCTGTAGAAATATAATAAACATTCAGTCTTATTTTTCAAGTTTGGCGGTTGGGATTTTGCTAGGTACAAAATGGCGGGTGATTACGGTATTTTAACAATGTAGGGACTCCTTTCGGTTTTTTCCATACTTTCTTTTTGCTGGTAGTAAACTGAAAAGAACGGTGATGTTTTATTGAACTTCACTTTATTTTCCGCAAAATGATATACTTGCATCGTTCCAGAAAAAAAAATTATTTAAGTTTTCTTCAACTGTTGTCAATTACGGATAGATTTATTTTTATTAGATATTATTATCTCTGAGAATTATTGATTAATATACAGGGTGTCCCGTTCATGTTTCAAAAAAACTTGTGTGCAAGTTCCTCATGGGAAAATAATAGAGGTAGTTCATATAAAGTTTTTTCTTAGATGCCATGTTTTCGAGATACAGTGTGTTGAAGTTGTTACTTTCGAAATGGTTTTCCTTAATTATCTTTAAATCAGCTAAAGATAAAAATGTCAAAATTTGTAGACGAGTAAACATCAACTGTGCGTCAAATTTTTGCTCGCATAAAGCGGCACACAAAATAGTAAATTGAGACAGGACCTTACCATTGAATGAGTTGAAGACATTTGGCTACCAACAGTATTTGCATTTAAGACTATAATTTTAATTTCTTTCGTATCACATGAACCAGTTAAACATTTTATTAACTAAAAAAAAATGAAATAAAATAAAATTTATTTTAAGTTTCAATTTGTTGTAAACTAACATTTAAAAAAGTAAATCAAAATAAACAGATTATGGTAATTAATTAAATAAATGTGCAAACTCGAAATACTATAGTAGACACTGAAATTGTACCCCATTTCCTTCTATGTAACTTAATTTTTCTCGAAAATGGTACATACTATCGAATTTCGACAAGTAGGTATACCTTTTTTTGTAGTATGCTTTAGAATTTACAGATCCGTTTAGAAATGTAATTTTGACTTTTAACATATTTTTTTTATCGATTGTACCCCTCTAATTACCTGCATCGGCGACACTGCTTTTCAGAAAGAAACCATTTGCACATTATTCTTAACGCACCGTTGATGTTTATTCGTGTACAAATTTTGACATTTTTATCTTTAGCCGATTTAAAAATAATTAAGGAAAACCACTTGGAAAGTAACAACTTCAACACACTGTATCTCGAAAACAGGGCGTTTAAAAAAAAACTTTATATGAACTACCCCTATTATTTTTCCATGAGGAATTTGCAAACACGTTTTTTTGAAACATGAACGGGACACCCTGTATGCCAGATAATATATTTATTAAATATCGCACGTGCAATAAAAATATCGGTAAATCAGTGCTGGTCAGGGCTTTAAACAGCAGAGTAGTTTTTTCATACAATATCATTAGTTATATTAATACATGTCTTTGGTTGCCTGTCAAAGAGCACAATAATATATTCATCAGACGAATATTTTAGAAAAAATTTTAGACTTAATATTCTTAAAAGCATAGATTCTTCTACGTCTCAGTTTCTACCGATAATCTTATACAAGCATCTTTTCTCTTCAGGCCGTATTTGCTTGCTCTTTGACCGCCACCTTGGCGGCCTACAACGGACCCCTCGCTGGAGGCCTTCCTGCTGCCCAGTACCCCGCCGGTGTCGACCCCAAATCCTGTCCAAACTTCCCTGACTGCTCCAATCCAGCCGTAGCAGTGCAATCACCTCAAGCCTATCAAGCGCCATCTCAATACCAACAACCAGCTCCCCAATACCAGCAACCCGCGCCCCAATACCAACAAGCCCCTCAATATCAACAACCCCAACAGTACCAAGCACCTGCTCCTCAATACCAACCACAGCAACCACAGCCCATCGCTCACTACAAGGATGCCGTTTCCCAATACAACCCTGTCCTGCCACAACAGTACAGCCAATCACCCCAGCAGCAACAGTATTCCCCAGAAATCCAAAACGCCTTGAACAGAGGAGAGTATATTGGTGATGGCGATTACCACGGTGAAGGTCTCAGGGAAGCACTTGCCCCAGAAGGTAAGGGTGTGTTTGCACTTAACAAAATATACAGGACGTTACGACAAACTTTCAAAACTCATTTTGCTCGTCAAATAAACAAAGCCAAAGTTAGAGTGGAGATTTTTAGTTCTACGATACTTTAAACAAAGTTTTCGATTAGTTAAGAATCATTGAAGATGTCAGACTTGATGCATTATAGTTATCTCAAGAATTAATTACCCAATCTAAAATTTTAACAAAAAACATTGCAACAAATCTTCCTTTACGTATTTGAATTACATCCAAACAAAAATTTTTAACGTTTACATTTTTTTTGTGATAAAATGCACTTTTATGGTGCAAAGCACATGACACTGTTAACAGCGGAGCTAAGGTGAAAAACATACCTAATATTTTGTACAAGTTTGCGAATATTTGAATGAAATATAGTTACAGGGATAGATTCGACTTTTCCATAATTTCATATCTTTAATTGTTGAGAAATTAGAGAATTGCTTAAGTTTTTTATTTCTGAAAGAATACCCCCCCCCCCAAATCTCTTCCTAATTCGGACACCACTGACTTGTTTTCTGGTCTGTAACATTCCTTTGTTACGGCACTGTGTTACGGAGTGATGAGGTTCAGTCGAGTCTGGATGCTCCCACGCAACAACCTAACATCATAAAGCCGCCTTCACAGGGCCCGAGGTTCGGTGAATGAATCCTCCAAGCTATCATTGTCCTGCTTTGACTCTGTCACAACTAGCATAGACAGTTCGCTCGCGACACTTCGGGTCGCGGTAGACTCCTTACGAATCTAGCAGTCTTTCTCTGATGCATCAATATCAAAGGAATGTTCCACTGTTCAAACATTGTAGCATCTTAATTTGACATCATTTTTTTATGCCGTATAAGAAAGAGGTTAATTCTCTTCATTAAGACTTACCCAGGGAAAACATATTTTGTGGAATATTAGATATTACAAAAAATTATTGAAAAGATTGGTATAAATTAGTGAAGAGTTACATGGTACAACTGATGAGTGCGATAAAATATTGAATTATTTGCCCAATACCAAATTTATTGCGTTATTTATAAACTACATCCGCAGTGTGCATTTTGTTTGGAAGAATTAAATTAACTGATATAATTGCAGCACGAATTGCTTTACCGTGTTCTTTAAAAAACGTTTTATGTAAAATATTCTAATTGTTTCTTCGTTCGTTTCAGTAAGAGGAATTATTCCTGAAAGTTTTTCACAATATCGCTGTTACATCCAATGCATAATAAAGTTGAAAGTGGGTACAGAGATGTAACAAAGTACAGTAACAGAACATTGTCGCGAATCTTTTTTTGTAAGGGGACGATGCTACGGTGTAATGAGCTTAAGTCCGCCCAGACATGCTGCAACAGAATACTGTAGTAAAGTAGCGTGCATATTATGACTCAATATTAGTTCGTATAAAGTCTAAAGGTACATCCAAACAAGCAACAGAGCAGAGCAAGAGAACTCTGACTGCAACATTCTTTGTTACGGGACGATGTTACGATGCGATGAGGTTTTAAGGTGTAACAGAACATTGCCGCGTAAGGAATATTATGCCGTTTCATCAGTTCGTCTAATTCTTCCAAGCAATATGGATACTGTAGATTAAGCTTATATAGCTACGAACTATTTAGCGAAGTTATTTTATTTGTTTTTTTCTTTCAGTCATTGGCTGTTGTGTATAATTTATTGGGAATTTCTTTCCGAGCATAATTTTTATTTCACTTAAATGTAATATTTGGTATGCCACAAAATCCGATTTCCTCGATAAATCTCTCTATACCCAAAAACTAAAAACTGAATAAATATTGCAATATTTGCTCGACAACCGATTGGACGCCGTGTTATTACCATGTTACTCCGTTGTGTGATATTTGTCCAGATACTTATATTACTATGTTCTATTGCAAAAAAGGCCTACAACTGAAGGAACCCTGTAATGTTACGAAGTTACGATGTTACGCTGTTACGAGGAGTCTAGACTTGATACGTGACGGTGTTACGTTATTGTGTTCTGTTTCATGTCTGGACGCACATTTATATTCATTTGCTTTATTAATTTCACTTTTTTTCCAGCCCAACAACCAGCCCGGCCCGCCTACAACGCTGCCCCTCAGTACCAACAGGCCCCGGGACCCCAGTACCACCCCCCAGCCTCCCAAATCCCCGCTGGAGTTAATGCCCAAGTGTGTCCCAACTATCCTTTCTGTCACTAATGATTCACTCTTCTACAGCCAGACTGCCAGCTGACAACATGTTGTTAAAAATGTAAATTTGTTATTAAACTCTTAATTTATTAACTGTTTGATTTTTTTTCATTCTGGAAGGTGGTGTCTTCTTAAAACATAATTATGAAGAATAACAGGCAGAGTGGGTAACCGGAACAAATTGCTGCGGTCGTGGAGAATTGAAATGTAGACATAGTCTGCAATCAATGACCTACAAATCCAAATCCTCTAACAAAACCGAAATATTGATTATTATAACATCAATTCTAATTATTCATGTAAAATTAGCTCAGACAAATTATGCTTGTAATTTGATTTGTTTGTATTTTTGTAAAGTTGCACTTTGCAATAACACGAATACGTTTTTTAAAAAGGTACCATCAGAAAATAAGATTTTTTAATGATCTATGGATCTGCTGATATGTTTTTGAGTGCCAAAATTGATTTTTATACTTAGTCAAATTTCTAATATTCAGAAAAAATAATGTAACTAATGAAATTTGGTAGGTAAGTACAATTAAGTTATTGATGGTGATAACTACGTGGGTGTTACTAGTTTTTAACCATCTCCTAGAGGTCACTAATTATGTTCAGGTTTTTTTCAATGTATGTTATAAATAATAATGTCAAATTTCGTTTTACATAAAAAGAATAGTCACGTTACAATTGTTAAAGATGTACCGTTTTTGACAAAAACGCAATTGACTGTCAGAAGTCAATCAATTTCTACTCCTTAATATACAGGGTCGGAAAGTCCCCATGGTTCATCGGCCGTTATGTGACAGCGATAAAGTAAGTCATAGACTTCCGTGCGATAGAGAAAGATAGCTTTAATGAAGGCGTCTAATAGTTACCGCCCATTTTGCCCTTCCACAAATAAGAAGTGGATCTTATTACTATTTTTTTAATTAAACTCATCGTCATCCAATTTGTCTAATACAAATTAAGTAAGTATTACACTTTGGTATTAAATTTCTACATTATTTGCAACTCAGATTTTTATCACCCCATAAATATGTGTTAGTATATTTGTACTCTACTTTTCCCGTTTAAATGGTGAAACTGAATGGAATATTTATAACATAACAAATAGATGTGCGTGATTATTTTAAACAAACAAATAGGTCGTAATAAATATGTATTAGAAAAACACCGGACTATTCAACCCATCGATTACCATTCAAGGAAATTTGTTCTGACTGAATAATAATACGTAGTTTATTAGAATTTTCTAACACCAATACGATGCAAATTGTAAAAACCCTCATTTACATAGATGTAAAAATCTTTTTTTTTTCAAATATTAGGAAGTGTGTAATTCAGAGGATAACTAACGGACATGCATTAATTAGAAAAGTTCTTTAAAAAATTGTGTTCTGAGATGCTTTGTTTGCAATATAATGGGTATAATGTCCCAAAACTCTTCCAGGATTTGAATGTTACGCCATTTGTGCGGCAAAGTGTCAGTGCCAACGAAAAAAAAAGATAGCATGATAGTTAACAGTTCAGTGTTATTAAAAATGGAGCGGTACTCGAAAAACTCTGCATTTAGTCTCTTTCAAGACTATAAAAAGAATCCTTATGTTAGCAGACATAATTGTCCTAAATCACATTTGTTAATTGTCCTAAATCACAATCGTCAAGAAAACTATCACACGAATCACTTAGTAAATAACACAGGCCAACAAGGAAAACATTCCAGAGATCAGACACTACGTTTCCGAAGGCATTGAGCGCGCTGAATCCGAATCTGGCCTCAAAATTGATCCATCACCCTAGGTTTCCGAGATATTCTAACCTAAAAGTGCAAAAAACACGTATTTTTGCTATTTTCAAGGTTATGTAACTTGGCGAAAAAAATTTTTTTCTCAAAACTGAAAATATAATTGGAAACTACTATCTTTCCCCTTCAAAACGCATTTTTTTATTTGTAAAAAGCTTTATTTTTCGCGGAGATATCGTCGATTAAAGATGATCAGTATAGCTACCTTATTAAACCATGGCTCGACCTATAACACAATTAATGGGTATTATGGGTTATTGGGTAATAG